TATGATCGGCCAAATATGGTAATTCCTTGTCACATTCAACTCCGCGGCTTCATCCAACCCTAACCCAACGACAGTCAAGAAGGGTGAGCGCTAAGGGCTTTCCGCAAACATAAACTTGAACTTGCGATGTTGGATTGCGAGCGTAAGTTAAGTAACCTATGTAACACCTCAGCTCCGTTCAAGTGTTCGCACAACCCGAGGACCGCAAGACACGACAGTAGCCTTAGGAAGCAAGCCAAAGCGAGAACGAGGCGGTCGACGCGTTGTCAAATGGAGTCAGCGAGATCAACTTACGGTGGTGCGCCGTCGATGATTCGACGCGAGTGCCAAGTGGTAGAGTTGTAAGTCAGTAAAGATGCCTCTGAACGGACCAACAGACTGATTGTCATTGGACTGGCCCTGCCATACGAGGCTTCTGGAAGCTTCGGTCGACCCTGCGTTGCCATCATGTGGGGTGAATGACTGTCTTCCTTCTTATTCTATATGGTCTGCCTACGGGAGACTACTGCGTTGCTCGTCTCATGCCAGTGGCACTGCCCATAACAGACAGGTGAACCTCATCATATTTCGCAGCCAGCTACCAGTGTACCAGTGTACTTGTGGAGGCTTGCGGTCCACCACCGACCATCGTCATGTTCGTTGTCCCGGCTCGCCGTAACAGACACTCATCCAAAGCCCCCTCCGGTGCTAGCGCTCGCACGTCTACTACATGGTAGTACGGTGCTTGCATACCGGATCTTGGTGGCAGGGCGCCCTTTCCACCCATGGTAGCCGTCACGGACGACGTTGGTAATAGCCCCCAGCTCAAACGGGCCACCACGCGTCGGACTCTGGCAACAGCCAGTATGCGTGCCATCGACCAGCAACCGCGGCGGACACTCAGTAAGACTCGGAGAAAGGCTCGGCTTCTCTCCTTGAAGTCGCGCCTTGCACGCACGCCCTCTTGCAGCTCCTGCAGCAACTCCTCCCAAACTCAAACTCCCAAAGACTCCACGACCCCCCAACAGCGGGAACGATCCCAGTCACTTCCGTGCGCGTAGTGACCAGCCCCCCGTAGGCAGACCAAACATCCGAGGGAAGCCAGTCGTTCCGAGTCCCGTTCCCTCAACAAGTCTTCAAGCGAACACCCGCAAGTGCCGTCGTGAAGCGACGCACGATCCCAGAGCCCAGTGCCGAGACCAAGACCGCCGCGCTCACCGCAGGAAGACACCGGCAGGAACACAAGCGCCGCGACCGCAGCGTAGCGCACGCCCCGTCCCCACCGCCAGCCCCCCAGCCCACCCGAACCTGGCTCGTTGGCGATAAGACCCCTACGCCTGCCCTGGCGAGGGAGCAGCGTGTCCTGGGCTTCTGCGCCTCCAGTCCCCTCGCATGCTCAAGGCGGGCCGAGGCTTTGGGGTTACTAGGACGCACCCACCGGCCAATGGATGCGTATATTAAGTATGTACCGACGCCCGGCTTGGCTTTCGGATTCTGATCGTCAAAGGTTTCGCAGAGCGACTCGGAGGTTCGCTGGAGCGGTGTTTCGCAACGAGGTTCGCAGAGCGGTACGCCGACGACCACCGCACGCGACGGACTCCTCGTGGTGGACAGCGCGATGTGACCCTCCCCACGTATTGTTGGGTCAGTTTGGTCTGGGAGTCCTTAGTATTGGAGTATTAGATCGCCGTTGGGACGTCAGCGATATCGGTGTCCGTCGAGGTCGCGGTTCCGTCGCCCCCTCGGATCGGCCACTGACGAACATGGCGAGAGACATTTTATTGGGATGCCAATTGGGCACCACGAAGGCCTTGATGGCGGGGATCGTGTCAGAGGTGTGGAAAAACGGCCATCTGCCCGATGGCTGTGAGCATCGGTCCAATCCTGTCGGAAATCTGAGCCTGCAGCCACCTTGCCGCCTGACGGAGTTTTTGAGGTTCTGATGTCCAGTGGGGCCGCCGCGCGGGGTGCAGTCATAGGACGATCTGAACGTTAGGAGCTTTGTCGCGATTGTTCTTACCACTCTGCATCCGCACCTAAACATTGCAGGAGAGCTGCGCAGGTGAAGAGGAGCAATGATTAGTTTAGGGGGGCTCCCGTACCGCGATAATAATCCAACTTGATCTTTGAATAAGCAGCGAGAGATCTATGATGATAAGAGTACTTTTGTATATATTCGCGTGGATCACTCCATGTCGACGTCCTCGTCGCTGGCGTCTTCCCAGCCCTCGTCCTCTTCGTCTGCGCCCTCCTCCACGGGGGAGGGCTGTATGCCCATTTTACCCAAGTTCGAAAGGAGCTCCTGGACATGCTCCAATAACGGCTCGTCATGATGCTCCTGTGCAGCGTGCAACTGCAAAAAAACACCACCTCGTCACTCATGTGGTGCACAAAGGGGGAGGAGCAACTCACACTCCGACAGGTCTCCAAACAGTCTCTCGCATCTCTCCACAGCTCCTCCCACCCCAGCCCGTCTACCGCCTCCCCGCGCTCTTTCGCGCGCTCGCCCATGAGCCAGAACGCCCAGCCCTCGATGTACCACGCCTCGACCTCGGTGTCGTCCGCGGCGAGGACGGCCTGGAGGACGCTGAGCGCCTCTGCGTAGGCGCCGAGCTCGACGAACATCTTCGCGAGGGCGAGGCGGGTGGGGATGGACGCGTCCGCGGGGAGCAGCGTGTGCGACTGGTGGAGGAGGGCGAGGGCGTCGGCGGGGCGCTGTTGGGACGTGCGCACAGAGGCGAGGGCGAGAAGGGCCTCGGGGTTGGACGGGTCGATCTCGAGTGCGCGGGCGAGGAGGGATTCGCAGGTCTGCTCGGCGGCGGGGTCGAAGCTGTGCGCGGGTCAGCGGGTGCGTAAAGACGAGCAATAGGAGACGGACCAGAGATCGTAGCCCGGATCCATCCAGATCTCGACCATGGCGACGTACGCACGGACGATGTTCCCCTTCAGCTCGTCGTCGTCGGGCGGGGCGGCGGTGGAGGCGTGCTTGCCCTTCAGCTGCGCGTGCAGGATGTCGATCGCCGCCTGGTAGTGCGCCAGTGCGGCGTAGGGATCGTCGCTGCTGAGCTGTGCGAGGTAGAGGTGCGCAGAGGGCGGAGGCGGGGCCGGTGCGTCTGGGTGCGGCGGGAGCAGCGCGAGGAACGTCTGTGCAGTGGTCGTTAATCAGCATCGGAGGCAGGGCACGTGGATCGCACTGACATCCCGCGCCTTGCTCAGCTCCCCCAACTCGAGGAGCACCACCCCGAGCGCCTCCCGCGCTGCGACCTTCTCGGCGGCGCCGGCGTCGTCGCGCACGAGGACGCGCTCGATGAATTTGCGCGCGAGGGGGTAGTCGCACTGGACGATCAGGTCTTGCGCTTTGGAGAGGAGCGAGTCGATGGCGGGATCGGGCGAGGGTTTTGCATTTTTTGCTGCCCTTGTGCGCGTTCGTCCCATTGCAATTGAGTGAGAGTCGATGGCAAACACGATCCACGCCAATGGGCGACTGGCGGGCGCATGGGGTGTATTGCGGTGAGGAGTCGATATTACGCAACCGACCTTAGCTCAGTTGGAAGAGCGCGAGACTGTAATTGGTAAACGGATTATGTCATCTTGAGGTCGCCTGTTCGAGCCAGGCAGGTCGGATTCTTTTCCTCGTGATCACACCGATTTTCACCCAACGGGCACTTGAAATATATCTTTTTTATCCCGGGGGGACCAGCACACCTGTCGACGCTCCTGCCGCGAACACGCCAGATTGATCTGATTACACGCGGTAACACGCATACACCCCCGTGTCCGCCTGGTCTAAGTACGTAGATATGCTGTCCTCCTATTTATTCATCTGCCTCTCCCGATACGATCACGTCGTCTGGAGGACAGTCCAGTGAGCGTCATAAGAAATCACGGGGGAAAACCTCTTTATTCGCTCACCGATCTTGAGCACCGCGCGGACGAGCTGTGTCGCGAGCAGGTACTGCTGCCGCTTCGAGATCAGGGGATCGTAGACGAATTGCGTCTTCATGTCTGTCAAAACCAGTCCCGTGCGGTGAGCCATGCAGCTGAGCGAAAGAAAGAAGGGAGGGAGGGAGGAAGGGGGGAGGAGGAAACCCACGTACCGTTCTCGCCCCGCCCCGCACAGTCGATGCCCAGCCGTGAGTTCTTCTCGGTCACCTGCCGGCTCTTCACCTCCGCGAGGGTCTCTATCGGCGACAGCCCGCTGTTCTCCGCGAGCGCGAGGGGGATGGCGTCGAGCGCCGCGGCGAAGGAGCGCATGGCGTACTAACGGCTGTGTGGTGGTCGTTAATCAGCATCGGAGGCGGGGCACGTGGATCGCACTGACGACCCGCGCCTTGATCAGCTCCCCCAGCTCGAGGAGCACAACCCCCAGCGCCTTCCGCGCTGCGACCTTGTCAGCGGCGCTGGCGTCGTCGCGCACGAGGACGCGCTCGATGAATTTGCGCGCGAGGGGGTAGTCGCACTGGACGATGAGTTCTTGCGCTTTGGAGAGGAGCGAGTCGATTGTGGGATCGGGTGAGGGTTTTGCATTTTTTGCTGCCCTTGTGCGCGTTCGTCCCATTGCGATTGAGTGAGAGTCGATGGCAAGTCCGATCCACCATTCACTGGGCGACCGATGGGCGGATGGGGTGTATGGTGTGAGGACTCGATATTACGCAACCGACCTTAGCTCAGTTGGAAGAGCGCGAGACTGTACTGTCCATTAGTCAGCAACGGGTCACACCCAGTAGTGGGTCAACCCTCGTCCTTGGACACATAGGCTACACATTATATATAAATATTACTATGAGTAGAATGAGGAGCAGCCATAGATTATAGCCTGAAAATTTGAGCCCGAACGGTGGAGAAATGAGTGTACTATGTGTGGTTTGAGTCGGGAAATCTGGGAGAGTCATCAGCAAATTGGCAAGTGGCTGTACAGTGCTGTGCACCCGCCTGCAGGCTCACAGTGGCACAGCAAGGTCCCCCGCTGTACAGTGCACTCCAACTACCTCAAAACACCACAAAATTTCAAATACTTCTATTCCATATTATTGAGATACTTTCATTAAGACTAAATGCAATCAAATCTATACAATGTTTGTGTGATAAAGACTCTCCAGAGGCAGTTGAAAATTGCCTGTGGGTGACTGTGAGGCTGTGAGCAGCTGTGAGCGGCTGTGCTACTGTCCCAATTTGGCTGTTTTGCTGATGGTACGCTAAATTGATTGCGCTGCTTAGCATTCCGACAGTTCTTGACCTCGCCCACAGTGTACCACACATCCAATCCACAACACAGCTACATGACTTACAATGACGCACATTCATTCCTAGTTATTGAAAAGATCTCGGCATTGGAGTGACCAGGGACGTCTCTGGAGCAGCGGATCTTCTTCCAGACTATAGGGATGGCCCTCTATGCCTCTCGCGGATATCGTTGCTCACTCTGGCATCAACCATGCTCCGACCCTGCTCCAACTTCGCTATAATGGACTAGAGGGCGAACGGAATCAGTCAGTATTTTTTTCTGATTTTTTCGATTGCTGAATGTGCCGAAAAATGGGGTGTGCTTCGAAGGAGGTATATGAGTGTGTCCTCAGGCAGTTTTGCTACAGCACAAAATTCCATCCTCGCTTCTTCATTTCAGTCAAGAAACAGTATGTTAATGTCTTCTTTGTTAGCTGACACCTTCTCAGACCCAATTCCAGCATAATATTGTACCATGAACACCGGGAACATCAAGCTGTTCTGGCCGGCGCACTATGTAACCCCACAAGAGTTAAGCCATGCAATCTCAGCCTCACAACTGTGTGACGAGGAACAAAAAAGGTGAGTTCTTTGGTCTAATACTCCATTTTGCGCTCATCGAAACATATCTCGATACTAGAATGATAGAAAGGCTATCTGACGAAGATGGGATGCCCCCGCTTGAATCATGCTTGTCCAGCCCACCAAGCTCTCCGCTGAACACAACCTTGCAACTCCACCTTGGTCATTCAATGGGAAGTATTCGGACCAATCCACTAGAGCATATTTTCAACATGGATGAGGCAGGGGGTAGCATCAAGCGTCGGGGCAAGAGGACAGATAGCGAGGATGTCAGTTATGGCGGAAAGAATGATGTGAGTGCTGTGAAGGAAGGGAAATGAACACGATAATGTCACTAGCATCATGTACTCTCAATGTACCGACTCTGAAGCATCAACGAACATCCTTTCTAGCATATGTGGCAGTGTTGTGACCTAACGGAGGAAGGATCGGGCGGAGGTCAGGTCAAATTGTCAATTTTCAACAACTAACGACAACTACTGCTGCACTCTTTTACGACTACAATGAACTCACCACTGCGTGTCAATGGAGACCAGTGCGAGCAACAGCTCCAGACTGCTCTACAAGCTGTTCTCGACTCTGGGATCAATGCCAGTGGGCAGCCAAACTTCAGCCTTTGTGCAGCAGCAACCCAATATGGAGTTTCTCGCACCACTCTCACTGCCCGTTTCCATGGACGGAAGACCCGTGGTGAAGCACATATCCATCAGCAAAGGCTCACCCCCGCTGTCACGCACCAAAAGTGTTTGGTAGCGAGAACATTGAATATTGACGAATATACGATGCCAAATGCAGCACAGGACGATCCTTCACTCA